TCACGGCAGTGTCTCAGCTGCCCCTGAGGTCCTGGGGGAGAACCCAGGGATGGCCCCAGGGGAGCTGGATGTCCCCAGCGCCCAGGCAGTCTCTGCCGGGGGCTGGGGGCGGTGGGGTGCCTTGAGCAGGTGTGAGTAGCAGGGCGGGAGCGGTTCTGGGCAGCGGGCGGGTGCAGCCGCCAGACACAGCACCCCTGGGGAGCTTGTTCCAGCGGCCCATCAGCTGGGCCTCCAGCAGCGGCAGGGGAGCCGGAAAGGGCTTGACTCTCAGGAGCGGCTGCCAGCCATCACAGGGAGGTCTTTTGTGTATGTGCTTTTTTACAACCCATTTCACCGTTTCCAGAAAAGGTAGCTCGCTTAAGTCAAAACAAATGCTCCCGCTGCTGTACTCCATGCTCCCACTCCTGCTCCCGGGCTCTCCCAAGCCCTTCTCTGTCTGTCCCCCCGTCAGCCTGGCTGACGGGGAGGTAGAGACTGGAGGCAGAGGAGGTGGGCAGGCCCTAGATGTCTAGGGCCCCAGGGCCAGCCTCTGGAGCGCCAGCCCTTTGCGCTCTGCTGACTTTGCTGCCCGTCAGACACTCCCTGGACTGGAAGCTCCTTGGAGCAGCCCTGGACTCCACGGCAGGGACCCCCTCAGCACCCCTCTGGCCTGCCCAACTTCTGTTGAACGTCTTGGCTGCAGCATGTGGGCCTGGCAAACAGGTTGGCAGAGGAAGGCCCCCGCCCCCTGGTTTCGCCTGGGGGCACGTGGGGCAGCCTCGAACACGGCCAGCACAGAATGGCCCTGTGAGCGCAGGCTAGGCAGTCAGGGGATTCCAGCCCAGCCCTGTCCAGCTGGGGCAGCTGGAAGTCGCCACACGGCCTGGGCCCAGGTACGGCCTGTCTCCCGGTCCAGGTTGGGTTGTCTGGGCCTCAGGGCGTGGGAACGAGTAGGCCTCCGGGAGTGAGGGCCGGGCCTGAGGAACTGGGCCATGGCAGGGAGTGGGGGGTGTCAACCAGCCCTCCCGGGCATTCTGGCTTCCGGAGCGGTTTTCTCAGCCAGCCCGGCACCCGGGCCAGGCCTCCGTGGTGTCCCAGGCAGAGCTGAGGCGGCGCTGGAGTCGGGGCTGGAGCGCTGTGTCTGGGGCTGCAGACCTTGGCCTGGGCTGGCCGGGCAGTGGGGACAGCGGGCTGGGGGCTGGTGTGTGGTTATAGTACCGTCTGCCTCAGTGGCCCTTTTCAGGTCTCTGTCCTGTGATGATGTTCAGCTTGGCCAGATGGCTCTGCTGCGAGCCCCTAGAGGACACGGCACTGGCCACCGTGACCATGCTCCCTAGACAGGCCACATCCAAACCCCAGAGGCTGCAGGGCCGACAGTGATGATGCCTATTCCTTTGTCAGTCCCATGGTGGGCCCGCCACCTGGGATCATGGTGACCTGAGTTAATACAAGGCTGTGAGAAGGGCTAGGGCAGACAGTGCCAGGCTCAGGGCTCCCAGCCCCCGGGGGGGCTCTGAGCCGAAAGCCCCTCTGGCCCTTCCTGCTGCTCGGGGCTCCCACTGTCCCCTCCCTGGTTGCTAACCACAACACTCCGTGGGCAAGGACCTTGCCAAGAGGAAAGAAGTCTCCAGCCCAGTTCCCGGCCAGACTTGGCCACGCAGCTCCAGCCCTGGCTGGGGCCCAGGCCGCCTCTGCTCAGGCTCTGTCTGGGACTGGCTACTGGTCAGCGGGCGGGGGCTGGGAGGTGGCAGCCAGGTCTGCCCATGCCTCTGCTGGCTGGGCACGGGCCATGGCCGAAGTCCTTGGAGGTGGAAGTGACACGGGAGCATGGATGCTCTGTCTGAGGGTCAGGGGTCAGATGGGATGGGGGAGGCTCTGGGTGCCAGCCATCCCCTCCCCGACACCCACCATGGCAGTGCCCACCTGGCAAAGCCTGTAGGACCTGCGGCAGCTTGCAGACTTCTAGCCCAGGATGGCGGGAGGAGACTGACCCTTTTGGAACAAGGCTCATGGAACCCACCAACTGAGCAGGGTCCTGGCTGGGGGGCCTGTCAGGGGAGTTGGCTTTGCAGCTGCCCAGCGCCCATCCCCCAGGGCTGGCCTGCCGGTCAGGGGGTATGAGAGCCCGTGGTAGGACCTGCTGCTGTAGGCTGGGGCCTTAGGAGAGGACACCTGGGAATCCGCAGGTGGCCCACAGGGCGAGTGCCCGGAAAGTGGTCCCTGGAATGTGTGTGGCTGTGCCCCAGAGCAGTGGGGTCCCTGTGACCTCTGTTTCCTTCCTTGTTGTATCTGTCATTTGAATGTCTTACAGTGAAGATATAAAGACATAACAGTCATGTGATAAAGCTCTTCTGTTTTCAATGTGAAAGGAATAAGGAGGGAAAAGACACCCCCGCCCCCGAGATAAATGGTCCAGCCTGAGGCCAGACACTGGGGCCACAAACCGCCCACGAGGCTGGGGAAGATGGAGCAGCAGGGGCATCCCCAAAAGGCTTGGAGCGAAGGAGCACCCTGGGGAGCCCCGGACCGAGGTCAAAGGGCAAGACTGGAGTGCCGTCCCAGCCACTCACTTCCCACACTCAGGAGCAGGGGTTCCTTCCTTATAGACTCAGGAAAGGCTCCAAGAGGGTCCCCCAAGTTGGGAGACTGGCTGGCTTGGCGCAAGGTGGGCACACAGCAGGAAGCTCAGCCTGTCGGTGTGTCCCCTGCCCTGTGGAGCTGGGACCGGGGCTGCTGAGCTGCAGTGCTGCTCCCCTCCAAAGCTTCCACGCAGTGGGACACCCCCTTCTGGGATGGTGTCAAAACAGGCACCCTTAAGAGTGCCCAGCCAGGGCCAGGACCAGTCTTCTGGGGGAGGGGGACAGGAAGTCCCACGTTTCCCTCACCCCCACCCCAGTTCCAGCTTAGAAGACATCCCCCTCTGGGCCTCAGGGATGCTCCCCACCTGCCCCTGGTGGGTGGTCCCTGGGGGTGTGGGTAGTGGGTCTACAGAGGTGGCCTGCTACCCATGCAGGATGCCGGGGTGCGGGAGACCCTGTGAAGGGGGCCACCTCTGAGCCTCAGTTTCCCTGCAGCCGGACCGGAGGGGCCCTATGGGATGCCAGGCCACTCCTCCCGCCCAGCCTCAGGCCCGCCCACCACCCCCGCCCGCGGGCTGTGGGAGAACTCAAGGTTCTCAGGCCGAGCTCCCAGAGAAATCCTTTATCCAGACCAACTTCTGGACTTGGTTGCTTCCCACTGTCCCCAGGAAGAGCAGGGCGGAGGGACTTCCCTGGGAGGGTGCGGGGGTGGGAAGGCCTGGGGGACATGGGGTGGGCCTGGGCGAGGCAGGAAGAGGCCTCACTCATCCCACAAGCATGGCCCCCCCCAGGGTCCCTGGAGCCCAGCAGGAACCGCCCTCCATCTCCTGCCTGCTCTGCCCGCCCGCCCGGGAGGCCAGTACTTCCCTTCCCAGCCCAGAGTCTCCTCCCCTGGCTGGACGTGCCTGTGGTCTGGCCGGGGCCCATGGCAGTCCCAGCCCTGCGGTCTGGGAAGTCCCTGGCTCTTGGACACCTTCGCCCCCTACCCCTGGGTCCTCTGGTCCTTTCAGGGTCTTCCTTTGGCCTGATACCCACCACAGAGGTCAGCTCACACCCTAGCATCCGGCCAGCACTCACAGACCCTTCGGCTGAGGCCGGTTCCTGGGGAAGGCCTTTCTCATCCACAAGTCTCATCCTCAAATGGGAGTGAAGGGAAGTGAAGGGGAGCTGCCAGGGTCCCGGTGGGGCAGCCCCTCCCTCTCCCCTGCTCCAGGGCCTTGCCGCCTCTCTGCTGAGTCACCTCATGTCTGGGAAGCTCCCAGGGCCAAGCCAGGCTGGATGAGGCATCACAAATTTGCAAATTCCCCCTGCCTCCTGGGTAGGGAAACAGCTGCCCTGACTCACCTTGGGCCGGGCCTGCAGCCTCCTGGAGCCCCCAGAACCCTTGCAAACCCTGCCAGTCTGCTGCATTCAGCCTAATGGGATGGTGAGCCCCCAGAACCTTGTTCCGCATCCCCTGGGATGGTCCCAAGCCAGGCTCACTGCCCATGGAATAGAGGTGACAAGGTGCCAGGGGGCCCTGCTGGGGTAGGGGCTGAACTGTGCAGCCCAGACCACCCACCTGGCACTGGGGGCTGCGCTGCGCAGAGTGCACTGTGGACATCATTCCTAGGCAATCCACTGGTTGCCATGGTAACCTGGAGAGACCCGATCAGCCTGGCCATGGCCACTGGACAGGGCAAAGGGGGGGACACAGTGTCAGGGTGCAGGTAGGCAGGCCATGGAGGCTAGCTGCTGGGCGAAATGCCGAATATCCTGAAACATAAGTGGCTGACTGCGTCTCAGTGCTACCGGTGAGGGCCTGACCCTGAGAAACCCTGGGGACATTAAAGCAGATCCTGGCGTGTCCATTCTCCGGTTCCTCCTGTGGTTCTCTCTTGCTCTGCCTCAGTTTCTTCTCTTGCTCACCTGGTAGAGAGCACACCAGTGTGATGAGGTGGTCAACGACCTGGGGAGAAGTTTGAAGACCCCGCCGGGGGAGAAAGGCCAGAAGCCTAGTGCCACCTGGGCGGAGGGGCAGACAGAGACTGCTGAGACCTGCCGACCCTAGACCTTTTCGGGAGGTGCACTCTGGCAGGTCTGCCGGCAGCTAAGAGGCCTGGGGGAGTCAGCTTCCAAAGTGAAGACCTGCCCATAGGGTCGACATTTCCCTCAAACCCTGGGTCCCTGACATTTATTCCCACAGTACCTGGCACCTGGTTGCCGGGGGTGGCGGGCGGGGTGAAGGAGGACAACTCAGCAGAAGTGCCAATCTTCAGGGTTTTGCAAGAACAGGTGTCAGGGCCTCCAGGGCTGGAGCGGGCAACTTCTCCCATCTTGGCTTCTTTGCTATTTGAAGACAAAAGCCCGGGAAACTTGGGGCCTGAGAGTCAGCCCTGGGGAAGGGCTCCTTAGTGCTGGCCCCTGCCCAGACTCATTCTCGCCCACTATGTCCACAGCCAGCAGCCGCCTGATGGGAAACTCTCCGGCCTCCTCTTTCATGGGCAGTTTCCTCACCAGCAGCCTGGGCTCGGCAGCCTCTGCGCACCCCAGTGGCCCCACCCCGTCCCCCTCGGATCAGGCCTACCGGGGCTCACACCCCGCCACCTCCCAGATCTGGTTCTCCCACTCCCATGAAGGTAAGTCGGGGCCCAGGCTCCCAGCCATGCCCTGCATCTAGAGCCACTGATTGTGGTGCCCAGGGCCTGTGGTGAAGCAAAGGGCTCTCCTGCTGTGGCTGGCAAACCATGCCAAGCACTGGGGTAAGGGGCTGCCTCCCTGTCGAGGATGCCCCCATAGGGGAGGTGGTAACTGGTTGGAAACAGAGTCGGGGGGGCAGCCCCGCCAGTCAGTGGTCCTGGCCAGATGTGCAGCAGACAGGCAGAGAGGGAAAAAGCGGTGGGGCCGGGAGGCTCGGGGGACCTGAGAAAATGTGGAACACAGCTGGGCTGGCCAGGCAGGCCTGCGCCCACCTCCCAGACTCGGAGAGGCATGGGCTCCAGATGTGTCAGCTGGGAGGGAGGGGAGGGGAGGAGAGAGCTGTCAACAGACTCAGGCTGCCACCCTGGGGGCCTGGCCTAGAACAGAGTCCCTCCCTGGCCCCTGCCTTCCCCTCAGTTGCAGCCTTGTACACACAGTAGGTGCCTCATATGTGTCACTCTCAGACCTTATGGCTGGCTGGAGGGCCCCTTCAGGCCCTATTAGGATATTGAGGTTCCCCTTGGCACTCTCAGGGAAGGTCACCACCCCCACCCAGCTCCGCACTGTCTGCTCAGCCCCTGGGCACCGTGATGTGGGCAGTGACCCTTAGCCCCAGTGTCCCCAGCCCGAAGTTGCTGGTATCCAGTCGGCCGCCATGGCGTGGGAAGGGTTAAGCCCGACAGCGGCTGGCACGCGGAGAGGTAATTGCAGTTGGCAGCGGGCACAGAGGGCTCTGCGCTCCTGGCACCAGCACCGCCGTAACTCAATGACTGCTGAGCGGCGGGCGTTGTGTTTGCAGAGCACGCGGACCCACACACCGCGCCCGCTGCCGCCCGCGTTCCAGGCGGGGAGATTAGCGCCCAGCGCTGCTGGAGAGCGAGAGAAACCTCTCTTTGTGCAACAAGAAAGGGGCTGTTTTCCAAACAGGACAGGTGATGAGTGAGGGACAGTTGTTAAAATAATCTGGGCTTTAAGCGCTGTACGGAGCGCACATGTTAGGTAGGCGATAAGGAGCAGCTCCCTTCCCCGGTGGAAGGGCGGCCAGACCAGCCCTGAGGACCCAGGTGGGCAGAGCAGACACCTGGCCCAGACCCCTCTGCCGCCTGCTTCCCACCCCTGCCTCTTCGCAGCCTCCCCAGGGCACACCTGGTGCAATGTGTCAGGCCCCGGAGCGGGGCTTCCTGGGCCGGCCATGCTGGGCACCCCTTGCTCCCCTGCTCCTCCCAGCTCTTCTGCATCTGCTGGGCGAACTCCTGGACCTGGCGGGAGCGTCTGGCTCCCAAAACGTCTGTGGGGGGAAGGAGAGGGCTGAGTGCCATGGGGCGGGCAGGGCATACTCGCAGCAGCCGTGTAGGACCACTTCCACCAAACCCATGGCCGCTGCCCTGCCCTGACCTGGCCACGGGGGCGTGGGCACGGCCAGGCTGACTGCCACGGTGATCCCTGGTCAGGGTCAGGATGGCAGAGCTCTGCGTCAGAAGGTACATATCCCCCTGCTCCTCCGGCCCACCCTTGAGGACCTTGCGGGCAAGAAGGGCGGTTTGTGGGCAGTGCCACCTGCCCTGGGGCCCAGGGAGAAGGCGCCCTGTCCTGCTCCTCTGGGGGCTGCCTGGGAGGCGGGGGTGGGCGGGTGAGAGGCAACCCGCAGATAGCACTCTCAACGGCCTCCAGACACTCACTTCCCCCGGCCAACGGCTGCCTCCGCGGAGTTGCTCGTGGCCTGCGGGGCACCCCGCCACCCGCAGCTGCAGCCCCAGAGCCACCTGGCAAGTTGCAGTTCCCATAACCTAGTGTGGGGGAGCAGTGTGTGGGAGGGTGCCAGACCCCCAACCCACCCCTTACCCACCGTGCACGCCAGGAAGGCAGCTGCTCCAAGGCAAGGACAGTTGGAGCAGCCCCGAACCAGCCCTGGCGCCTCCTTGGGCTGGGTGCACCCACGGTCTCATGGGGGAGGGTGTGCATGTTGAGGCGGTGGGCTCCGCGGGCAAATGCAGCAGGGGGCAGGACAAGGGGAAGCGAGGAAGCCTCTGAGCCACCCACGTGGAACACAGGCTCCAGAACACAGAGTGGAGGGGAGAGCAGGGCCCACACGGGGCCAAAGATGAGTTTAGGGGCGCAGCGGCCCCTGGGGAGAGCACCCCCAACCTGCCAGGTCCCTCCTGAGGGTAGCTCGTGTGTCTGTCCTGGGGACGCTACCATCTCCCAGGCCTGAGCCCCAGTCTCCCCTTCTCTGCCCAGCCTGGGACCCCCTTCCTACGGGGTTCCCCTGCCCTCCTCTCTCTGCAGCCTCGCTCTGACAGGCCACGTGGTGCAGCCGCCTCGCTGTGAGCTCCCAGCGTAAAGGCCGGTGGGCGGGCGGGGCCGGGGCGAGTGGCAGCTCTGGCTGGCTGGCTGCCCTGGCAGCGTGCCTGGCTGCTAGTTTGACTGGGTGCCAGCTGGCTGCCCGCGTGCCGGGGCCTGTTTCTCTGCCGTGTGTGTTCAGGGGGAAGGGGGGCCGAGGTGGGGCGGGGGGCACGCGACATGGCCGGAGAGTGGGGGCTGGCGGGCAGGGTGGGCTGCCTGGGCGGGCTGCTCCACAGTGTGGCCTCACCCTCGTCCTCTCGCCATCCCCAGGATGGGCAGAGAGACAGGTGTCGGGCAAAGCCGGCTTGCTACCCTCCTCCAGCCTGGGGATAGTCAGGGCTGGGCCCCGAAAGGAGTTCTCAGCTTAAGAGCAAGGATGCCAGGATGGTGGGGGGGGTAGGGGAGGGATGTCAGTGGGGGCCAGGAGAGCGGATGGGCCCTTCCACTCCAGGCAGGGCCCCCGGCGCTCCGTGGGTGGACCCAACCCACCATCTGGGGGACAGCCACCAGAGCCGAGGCCAGGGCTTCCTGCTTCCCTGGTGGAGCAGCTGGGGTGCAGGGCTAGTACCCCAGAACGGAGGAGCCGCCCCAGAACATCTGGCCTGGGGCAGAGCTTCTCTGTCCAGGGCCTCTTACCCTACCCCACCCCCCAAACCCCCCACCCCAGGCTCAACCAAGTGAAGGGTCCCGCCAGAGACAAGACTTTCCCTTCCGGGGCCTAGGGTCAGGGTGGGCGGCGGAACTGACCTGAGGCAAAGGGGTGAGCCAGTGTTCAGCCGGCCTGCCCTGGGTGGGTCCCGGTGGGGGTGGGGTGCAGCACAGCTGGCCCTATTGTCAGCAGGCCGGCCCCCTCCCGCCCTCCTCCACCCCCCGGCTGCCTGGTGGGACCACCCACGGGGCCATGAAAGGGGATTCTGTTCCTGGGGGCTAAGCTGGGGAGGAACGGGGCTGCCTGGTTCCCACAGCCTGGGCCACTCCTGGTCTCTTGTGCCACCTGGAGGGGGAGCCTCCGGAGGCAGCGGGCACATGCGCCGGCGCTGGCCGTGAGCCTGGCCAGCCTCTTCGTCAGTTGCACCCGCCCCGGAGGCTCTTTCTCCTGCCGGGGCTGGGCTCACCTCCAGTGGGTCAGGGGTCTCACCCAAGAGCCACTAGGCGCTCCCTGCCATTTCCCAACCCCCCTCCTGGCTTCCCTGAGCCCCTCAGCTGTCCTTCTGTCCCCTCTGTCCCCTCTAAGACTTCAGGATTCACCAGGGCTTCTGGGAGCACATCTGTGTGGAGGCCAAAGGTCCCAGCCGGTGTCACCGTCTCGGTGTGGTGACGTGTCGAGAGGAGCCCTCTGCCTGCCTGTCTCTGAGGCAAATCCCTGCCCCGGACCTTGTCCTTCTCCCCTGGATGCTGGCCGCTCCAGCCCCTTCTCTTGGCCTCAGTTTTCTCGGTGGCCAAAATGGCCTCTGAGTCTGCCCGCACAGGACACCGATGTTCACCTCCCCTCCCCGCCCAGTGCAATAAAGATGCCCCCACATGTAGGCAGCATTCCTCACCCTGCCCACCTGTTCCTGCTGGTGCCGGAGGGCAGGGCTGGGTCAGTAGGGGCAGCTGACCACCCTGTGATCTGGGGACAGTGTAGGGGAAGGGACCAGACTCCCCAGATCCAGACATGGGGGATCACGGCTGCCCTGCCAGACAGGTCCTCTCCCGCCAGCTTCATCGTAGCCAGAGGGAGCCCTGTCCCATCTGGACCTCTGACCTCCTCCAGAGCTTTCTCGGGGCTTTGCGTGGCCAGGACACCCCCTGGCTCCCTGTGACCTTGGCCCTTCACTGCACTTTGCCTCCGCCCACCTTCCCATCAGGGTCCCAACCTCCAGGGACCCCTCTGTCCTTGCATGTCCCCTGTAGCAACTGTCCACTGCTGTGCTGGGGATCTGAGGACCTTCCTGGGCTGCTGTTTGCACCCGGGCGTGTGTGTGAGCTATACTGGGTCTGACAGGGTTGGGAGAGGCCCATTGTCACATCTGGGTGTGGGGCTGGCTTGCACTGTTCCTGTGGCCCCAAGACCCCCAAGCACTATGCTCTATGGGTATCTTAGATACCCCGGGATGGGGTGGGGGGGCTCTTGGAGCATCCACCCAGGAAGACAGGGTATAGTAGGTGTGGTCAGGGGTAGCGTAGTGCTCTCTCCAGCTGAGCTTCCTGACAGACAGAGGTGATGGGTGGGATGTTGTGAGTGTTTCGGGGGTCATGCCAGTTTGTTCCCAGCTCCAAGCTCTGAGACTCTGTCTCTCCCCCAGTTTTAGTCCTGTAGCAAGACCTGGTCCCCAGCCCTCCCTGGCCCACAGGTCCTGCTCCCCCGGAGTGGCTGCTGCCAAGGTCTGCATCTCAGCTCTGTACGGCCTGAACCCAGCTCCTCCCTGCACAGCACTTGCTAGGAGCCCGGGACTGTCCATGACCACCTGGCTCCTGGGCTAGCTGCCTGCTGCTTTTGTTCCAGAGGTGTCCATGGGAGCCTGGCACCTTCCCCTGGCTCTGAGCCACTCCTCTCAGCCTGGGAACAGACCAGGCAGCCGGGCCCCAAACCTGGGGCGACTGGGGGTCAGTG